CGATAACAAGTTGTAGGAACTTGTAACAAGTCTGTTGAGCTCAATAACCTTGTAGCAAGTTGTCAACAAGCCGTTGACAACTTGTCAACAAGCTGTGAACAAGCAATGCGAAAACATCCTGTTGACAAATTGTTGAACGAGGACTGGTACCAGTTAGTTTGCTGCAGGTTTGTTACAACTTGTGAGTTTTCACAGGTGTACACACGTAAAAACCAGGGGTTTCATGCAGAATGATTTGAAGTAGGCGGCTGTACCAAAAAAGAAAAAAGTAGCCGGCTGTGACTGATAGTTAAAAAATCGCGCGGGGAGGGGAGCGTGCCCTCGCATGGAAATTTAAAAAATTTTCGCCGCAAATTAACAATCAAATAATATAGAATACGTAAAAAGACAAAGTACAACTGTTAACATGTTAGATTTAGATGTCATTTGCATTTTTACTTGTAAGTGACAATGTACTTTAATGTGCTACTAGTAGTTTAATTTTTGCAGCTGCATGAACAGAATGACAATGTACACTACACTACAGTAATAGTAATTATTGTATGAGTCCGAAATCATTAATCAAATGATGTTATACTTATGTACGTAATGAACTTCAGTTCATCACTTCTTCTTTCTTTTGCTATGTTTGGTACTATGTATTATAAAGTCGCTAGATTGATCGTAGGTTGATTGTCGCTGGATTGATCGTAGGTTGTAAAATTCATGAAAAATCCAGAAAAGAACTACACAATGAACTTAACTGGCTAACGGTCAGACAAAGAATACACATGAGAACAGCTATGATTATACATAGAACACTCTACTGGAAGGAACCATTTACTATATTTATGCAACTTCATCCTCTCATCATTACCCATGAACATGAGACAAGATTCGCATCGAAGCGTAAAGGTGATAAGTTACTACTTGCGAAACCTGTTTATAAGAAGAAAACATTCCTTGCTAGAGCGTTTACAACAAGAGGAATAGAAATTTGGAACAATTTAAGTGTAGAGACAAAACACATAGTAATGAAAGGAGCTTTTAAATCTGCTCTTCGTAAACAGTTGGCGTGGTTTATTTGATATATATACCGAATATAAGCACTGCTATTACTATTGTTATGACTAAATTTTATATTGTAATTTTGTATAGCATCGTAGCTTTTAGTAAACTATATATATATATATATATATATATATATATATATATATATATATATATATATATATATATATATATATATATATATATATATATATATTTAAAACTTAATATACCATAGCGTAGACCTCGTGTAAACTAGCATTATAGCTAACTGGGGATCTGTTTTAAATACAAATACAAAATATATTTTATCTTATTGACCTTCCAAAATAAGTGATGTTTTTCTTGAATTCAGGGCTTGAATTTTATCGCGGCAATTGCCGTAGAGGGAGAACAAAATGCCGTGGATCATTGCGGCAACGACGGCAAATTTTTGCCGTATAGTATAATTTTTAAAATGTTCACTGTGCATTACTATTTTGATACTTGAATTCAGATGTTGATCAAATCATGCGTAAGTTACTATTTTAGTCTCAGTTTTCTTCGAGAAAAAACAGAAATACATAAACATGTTTCTATACTGTAGCTTGTCAACAATCCAAAGTAACAATAAAATCAAATTTTTATTACAGTAATTTGAAAAAATGCCATCGAAACTGACAAAATTGCCGTAGACAGCTGTTACGTTCTACGGCAATTTTTAACGCCATTGCCGTCGATTGATTTCAGGGAAATTCGAGGCCTCCTTGAATTCCAATTGGAACATAACAAACCACGTGTTGGTTCGCTTGTACCTTTGTATATAAAATTTTTCCTGTGACCAGACGAAAAGTAGCCGGCGGTAAAAGTTCAAGTAGCCGGCGGAACTCCGCCGGCCGCCGGCTTATTCTGAAACCCCTGGTAAAAACGCACAAGTTGTAACAAACCTGCACCAGACTTGTAGCAATGCTGTTCCAACAACTTGTCAACAGGATGTGCTCGCACTGCTTGTTCCCAGCTTGTTGACAACTTGCTACAAAATTGTTGAGCTCAACAGACTTGTTACAAGTTGTTGATCGTCTTGTAATTCAACAATTTGTCGACAAATTGTGAGTGACAAACTTGCAGCAACTTGATAAAATAACAGCATTGTCACGACTTGTTGTCAAGCTTGCTACAAGCCTGTTGCGAACACATCTTGTTGACAACTTTTAACGTGCGTACCGTAAAACTTTATTAACTCTTCGTACCTTCGCATCCTTTATCGGTCAACTGAAAACCAGCATTACAAGCGGAACATTTCTCAGGACCAGCACCCGAGCATTGCGAACAAGCTTTATCGCAGTCCAAACACGCGAGGGATCCAGGATTGTTATCACAATATTTGCCATCTTCACAGGTGGTACTCGCATCAGCACACTCGTCAATGTCTAAAGGAAATGGACATGAAGCTGTCAGCCTAGATCGTCCTATAGTCTATTCTGTAATATGGATTGGATATTCGCATTGACAGTCATGATATAACAATATTGTTACAACCTTGTGTCATCTAACTTGTGACATTCTTGGTATATCATGACTGTATCAGACTTGTTAGAACAACCTTTTAACAATTGTGATAATGCCATCAAGCTTGTTACAAGTTGTTAACAGCTTGTTCCAAACTTGTTCCAACAACTGGGAACAAGCAGTGCGAACACAACTTGTCGACAGCTTGTGAACAGATTTGTAACAACTGGTTTGCAGACCTGTAATGCACCTATCAATGTTAAGCCCCAGAGGGGGGGGGGGAGGGGGGTCGGGCATAGGTGGGGCATTTGATTTTTTTGAGCAAATTTTCAATCAAATGCCCCATTGTCGGGCAATAAATATTGGTCAAATGCCCCACCATTTTGCAATAAATTGCAATAAATACTATGTTAATAAAAGTCATTCGGTTCAAATTGCCCCAACTCAGGGCCAAAATGCTAATCAAAATCCCCAGGGTGGGGATGCAATTGATGATCAAATACCCCACATATGCCCGATTAACATTGATAGGTGCATAACAACTTGTGCGTTTTTACGCGTGTAGAATAAACCATGTCCCTGAATTCTGGCCGCGGTTAGTGTCGCAATCAGGTAACTCGAACATCTCAGTAGTCAGAGCTCTGGTATACCACCAAACCAGGGATACCGCGACCATACCTTCGCATCCTTTGTCGGTCAACTGAAAACCAGCATTACAAGCGGAACATTTCTCTGTACCAGCACTCGAGCAATGCGAACAAGCTTTATCGCAGTCCAAACACGCGAAGGATCCAGGATTGTTATCACAATATTTGCCATCTTCACAGGTGGTACTCTCGTCAGCACACTCGTCAATGTCTAAAGGAAATGGACATCTGTCAGATTACATCGTACTACATTCGTATTATTTTGAAAAGCTCTTCAAAGACACACGCAAAAATCTCGCATCTTGTACACACGTAAAAACGCACAAGTTGTTACAAATCTGTTCTCAAGCTGTCGACAAGTTGTGTTCGCACTGCTTGTACCTAGTTGTTGTATACAAGTTTGAAAGAAGCTGTTAACAACTTGTAACAAGCTTGTTCGCATTATCAGACTTGTTACAAGGTTGCTCTAACAAGTCTGATGCAGTCCAGTCATGATATAACAAGAATGTTACAAGGTTGACGACACAAGGTTGTAACAATATTGTTATATCATGACTGTATGGGACTTGTTGGAACAACCTTGCAACAAGTCTGATAACCCTTGTAACAAGGTTGTTACAAACTTGTTTACAGACTTGCTACAAGATGTGAGATTTTTGCATTTGTAGCAGCAAGTCTGCCAACAAGCCATCAACAAGTTGTCAACAAGTTTGGAACAAGCTGTTAACAACTTGTAACAACCTTGCTGATATTATCAGACTTGTTGCAAGGTTGTTCTGAGAAGTCGTCAACAAGTTGCGTTCGCACTGCTTGTCTCAAGTTGTCAACAAGTATGGAACAACTTGTATGAACAGTTGTAACAACTTTGTTTATATTATCAGACTTGTTACAAGGTTGTTCCAACAAGTCCCATACAGTCATGATATAACAATATTGTTACAACCTGGTAACATTCTTGTTATGTCATAACTGTATCAGACTTGTTAGAACAACCTTGTAACAAGTCTGATAATGCCATCAAGCTTGTTACAAGCTGTTAACAGCTTGTTTCAAATTTGATACAACAACTGGGAACAAGCAGTGCGAACACAACTTGTCGACAGCTTGTGAAGAGATGTGAGATTTTTGCGTGTGTAGAAAACGTGAGGACAATAACTAATTAGCAACAGTTATAATAGAATTGTGTGAATGTGTATTTAAATTCATTTCCCAAATATATAAATTATTAACTTGGCAAACTAATTCATACTCTGATACCTTTGCACCCTTCATTTTCAATCATTTCATAACCGGTTTTACAGGCTAAACAGGCTGTGTTTCCTGGTCCAGTACAATTTTCCTCACACGAGTTGTCGCAGGCTGTAAGAAAATATACATCGTTTTAATTTTCCCACATATTATCGGGTGATGAGGCGGAATTTTGAAGGTCAAAAAGTCCCACATTCCCGGGATAAATATTGCCGAAAAAAATTCTGACAAACCACGAAAAAAAAAGCGCTACACAAATGTTAATTTTAATCTTATTCTACACATAGCGTATCGAAGGGAAGATGGCTGCGAAACTCATTAGAATAACAATATAACTCATTATCTATGTTAGTCAACGTTTATTCATAAATCTGGTCCTTCATCGTCACGTGCGTATTGTATTTTTGCCAACTAACCAATAGCAATGTTTTAGAACCAATAGGAGTGCATAATAATAACACACAATTTATAAAAATTGTATATTTTGAATCAAATCTGATTCATCTTCAGCAGTGTTTTACAAGATGAATGAATGTGTTTTGCAAGATGCCAATCAGATTTGATTCGACATATACAATTTATAAATTGTGTGTTATTATTAAGCACTCCTTATTCGGAATAAATTTTATTCTGTTGAATTTACCTTCGCATTTAAAACTGCCAGGTGTATTTACGCAGTATTTATTTGATTCACAAACATCCCCCGAGGAACACTCGTCTTTGTCCGTGCATCCATGCTCTTCCGATTCTTCCCATCCGTCTTTGCAAGCCTCGCAATCTTTCGGCGAACCATCGTGACACCCTCCGTCACACGACTCGTGACATCCTGGAATACGTCACCAATAAAATAAGACAACATACACCAGTCTTGTCACTTGCGCGCGAGCGACGTTTTTCTCAACATGGATGTTTGTCGTATAAAAGGTACAAAATTCTTATGTAAGACGCGTCTTGGATAAGACGCGTCTTACATAAGAACAGGAGTTTTAGCTGTTCTTATTTAAGTCGCGTCTTAAATAAGAAATTTTAGACAAAAATTCTAACTACACATGCCCGAAACTTGAAACAACGTAAAATTATTAGCCTTGCATATTAAAACAAAAACAACCGAAACAACATTATATCAATT